GACAACACAACATAAGTACATCAATGACTCAGAAAACAACTATTCTTTTAAAATGTATGATAAAGCAAGATGGAACTTGGAAAGATATACAGAGGTACAGTATATACACAAACGCTTCCATCTTAGATCTCCATGTCCAATCCTTCTATAATATACAACTAAAACCAATATATTAAAAGAAAACAAGATAAAAGTGAAAAAAAGGAAAATTCCCTTCTCCGATGACACAAACAGGTCAAGGACTACCATATAGTGAGAAAGAAAAATTGATAGCATGAATAGAGTGATATCAGATGACCAAAAATGATAGTTTTCAGACGCCAATAGAAGATATGAACTCAAAGGGCCATGCACAGTGCTACTGAAGCTTAGGTGAAGCAAATTACCCAAAAGAAAATATGCATCGACTGTCGAAAGAGTGTGACCAGATCAGACCATCATATAAAAGAGCATGACCAGCAGCAGACTTCAGAGGGAAGTTGATTTTACCCCTAAATAACTTATACATCCAATTGACATGCTCTAAATGGACTAATGAAATAATGTAGAACTCCTCTGCAACTCTGGGGATTTAGTAATTAACTGCAGATTGTACAAAGTGTCAAATATGTGATTTAAGTAAAATGTAGAGCAATGGAAGTACAAGTTATACGCCTGAATAAAGCATAACCTACAAGAATCACAAGGGCTAAAAATTCAGAACACAGAAAATCTACATATGCCAAGAAGGCCACTGACCAAATAACCATGTGTACTTCCATACTGCTCAAACAGGGGATAATTTTTTTATCTGCATTTAATCACCTAAGCATTGGGTTAACACACCTGGTGCTACTTTTCTTTTTCGTCCCAAACGGAACCATCATGTCTTTAGTTTCCTAAACAGCAGTAGACATGCATAAGAATCCTAGTACTAATTAACAACTGATAAAAGATGTCGATCAAGCTTCAGAAACTTAACGGATGCATATTGAGTTCCATAATTGTTTTCCTCGAAACCACAATCCATAACACCTGCATATATCTCACCTGGAGTATTATTAAATACCAGTTTCATGCCTTCGAGTATATATCACCTGCAAAATAGGACATGTGCTCCTTAGCTAGATTCTATTTTTGATCTGACAAAGCACTGAATCAAATAATTCCTTTACCCATGAGTCTAGGTTTCTAACAATTTAACAGAAGTGGGAAGGAGGGAACAAGGATGATGGTATTTATATGGAGGTTATGGAACTAAATTTCTCCCTCTGCGTCTGGTTATGGGATAACCAATCTTCAGTCATTTGAAAGAGGGACCTCTGTTCTGCCGTTTGGGGGAAGATTTGCTCTTATGCATATATATAGGGATTTATGCTTCTATTGTAATTGGATCGCGTAGATGTTCAGACGGGAACAATTCATAATGCAGAAAACGAATCGGTGGGTTGAAGAAAGGACAGAAGCTGAGGGGATCGCGTGTGTGCCTTGGGCTTGAAGATAAGAGCGGTGGAGGGCAGGGCGGCCAGCAGGGAGGAGACATGTGGCGAAGGGCGGCTCCGGCAGCGGCGACCTGCGGCGAAGGGTGGCTCCAGGGCGGCGGCTGGGGAACCTGCGGGCCGCGTCGAAGGGCGGCTCCGGGGCGGCGGCTCGGCGACCTGCGGACCACGGCGAAGGGCGGCTCCTAGACTACATCATACATATTACCTTGATTCACCTCACATGCAGCCTGCTTGGATCTCTTATCAAACGCCTTTGTCGACATGACACATAAAAGATCTTCAGAACCAACATGAGAGAGAGGTGATTAAGTTAGCAAATGGTAATGAGAAGGGTAAATGAAGAATCGACGTCCAGAATCAATGTAGACGATCTGCAGCAGCACCAAGAATCGGTCTCCAGAATCAATATAGATGATCTGCAGCTGCACCAATCGTTTAGACAAGTATGTATCCAATTAGGAGCCATATTTAACATTACAATCAACAGAATCAAAAAAGGAACTTCGGAATCCGCAATTCCGAACAGGTAGGATGAGATGATCGATCTCATATATCAGCTGAGAGTGCAACCAAAAGATTCGATGGTTGCAGGTCTTATTAGTTATAACTATGAGAAAGTCTAGGATTCAGCAATCGGTTGTCTGAATTTTGTTTTGCAATCGAGTGCGGTTTGAAGCCTTGAATGAAAGATAAGCATAAAAGATTAAAATAGACTGATCTAAGCTATAATAAAAACAAACAGTTAAGTTTCGTCCGACAAAGCAATAGATCGGATGCCAAAATCCAAACCTCAACTTTGCATCACCGAGAAGAGTACGGAGATCTTCTTGTCCGGGAAGCTCGTCCTCGTGCACCATCACTTCCTCACTGGACAGAACAAATTAATCCAGCAAGTTAGTGATCCTAAAAAATTAACACCACAATCTTTGAGGCAATAACACAAGCACCTGGTGCAGCGGAGAGTGGTGTGCGCGTGGGTCGCTTGCTCGTGGAGGTGTGGAAAAGGCCAACGGAGACCAGCGGCTCGCGGCGGGCGGCTCCAGCGCGACCTGCGGCGGTTCCAGCGGCGGGGCGGCTCCGATGTGACCTGCGGCGGTTCCAGCGGTGGCTCCAGCGGCGGGCCGGCTCCGACGCGACCTGCGGCGGCTCCAGCTGTGGGGCAGCTCCGACGCGCCCCCTGCGGGCGGGGGTGGCTCCGGCTCTAACCCCGGCGGCTCCAGCAGCGGGCGGCGAAGGGCGCGGGGGGCGGGGCGGCTCCGGATC